GAAGATTAGATATGACCTGGTTTTCCCCTCGTCATTAGTGTTAACTCTTCACCTTTGATTTTGACTTAGCTTAGGCGCCCAATTAAAAGAACTTGAACATGACTGTTCCTTTGGGTTCGACCCTTGAATTGCCTCTAAACTTGTATTTAGGTTTGTTAAGTGTTTATAAATTTTTTTTAGCTTAGGGAGGATTAGTCAACAACCTAGTTTCCCCTCGTCAATACCATATAACCACTATATTGTAAAACAACAAACAATATTATTATTTGAAATACAAAAAAGATAATAAATTAATTTCCCCTCAACAAACACTATTAGAGAATAGATCGAAGATAAAGGTGACGCGAACAGTTTGTATTTCTATGAGGCCCCTGCATTTGGAAGCCTTTCCTCATTCTCTGCTGTATAAACGCAAACGTAAAATATTCCTCTTGCATTATAATAGCGTTTAAAATCTCACCGGCAACAATGACATTATTCAAGTCAAGATCAAGAAGATCTATCATTGCATCACTCTGTAGGTCCCCAAAGTGAGTTGGAGAGGAATTATCTGCAATAACTTTGCTTCTCCAAAGAGTTTGTTTATTACCTTGCTTGTTGTCAGGAACATATTAGTAACTAAGGACAGGCTGCAATGTTGGAACATTCGATGTGATCCTGTTTGTTTCTTTTGCAATCAGAGCTTGGAAAATGTACAACATTTGTTTTTTGAGTATGATAGGCCAATCAACTAGTTTGATGCTGAAATGGATTGGATATCTAGAATCTGCAGGAAGTCTAGATCTAAAAATAGATTGGTAGGAATGTGCTTTGCTGAATCAGTGTATCGGATTTGGCTGCAAAGGAATGCTATGATATTTACAGGAAGCTAGAAGTCTACTACTGGTGTTCTTAGAGATTTATTGTTTTCTATAGCCTGCATGTGTGTTGTTCCTGCAGATATTTACTTGTTATGTAGTTGTGATTTATAGTGCTGATATCTTGCACTGTGTTCTTTGGTATTACTTCTTGGTTTTTGTGCTTGTTGCCCTGCTGTCTAGTGCTTCTACTGGGCATGTCCTGCAAATGAGTCTAGGGAGGGCTTTTTGTTTTTGTTGTTTCTTGTCTTCTTCTTCTAGCACCTGATCGGAGGTTGAGTAGGTCGTTGGACTACTAACCATAACCAAATTAGAAAATTTATGATACCTAAACTCTTCACTAAGCTAGTTAGTGGCAAGTATGTGGTCGAACCACGAAAACTAAGTGTGTCAATCTGTGCTAATTAGACAACTAGGATTGTCGAGATATAGAGGGATAGAGAGAGGAACATCTAAAACAATACTTAGAGAAAACAACAAAAACTTGGGAAAGTGAAATCCGATTACATTAATGCATTCAACAACAACATTACAATTAGATGAAAATGACCTTAATTAGGTACAATCAATACACTCAACTCATTCTCGCGCAATTAAGAATACTAATTATCCTACTAAACTAATTCACTCTTGTGAAACTAGCCGATCATAGGTATGAAAGAATTTTGACACTCAAACAACTCACTTTCGCACAATTGAATTAAAGCACAATTAAGAACATATAATCAATTAGCTAGAAATATTCTAATCCATATAAGCATCATCCATATATAATAATCAAGAATCAATTGCATACAAATAACAATAAGTCATTTATTTCATCAACATAATCTTCATCGAAATTCCTAGAATAAAATCTAAACTAAAATGATATAAAGAACATGAAAAGCAAGGTAAAACTAGAATTAAAGCTAAAATTAAACTATTAAACTAATTAACTAATTAACAAATTTAATTGTAGGGAATATTTCAAGCATCCCACACTTGAGCCCCAGTGTGATCATACACTTAAGCATGGTGGCGTCCAAAGGGAAGGAAGCTAGGGTAAAATAGGCGCCAACAAGTTTTAGGAACTTGTAAACCGTTCACAGGGTGAAGGTTACACCCCTTCATGATCCATGAGATCGCTAACTCCATAGTGGTCTGGAACCATGACTAGAAATTCGAGGATGAAGGTACGAATCCAATCTAAAAGAGAAAGAACCCGCCGTAAATAGGCCTCTACTTTATTCTTCTCATATTCATGTGCACTTTCTGACTAACATACAATCACTAGGTTAATCCTAAACCTGTTTATCTATGTTGATTCAATATTAATGCACATACAAATATATTATCGGCGATCACTTGAATTATAATCATATTAGCCTAAACAAGATTATATCTTATTAAGCATGATTACAAGTACAAATTCCCTTTAATCATGCATAAAAGGCGTGATCAAGTAATAACAATAATATAACATCAGGCAACAATATTATACTGACAATCATCATCATCATAATATTCTCAAGCTCATCAAAGCATAATAATATTAGCAAGATCCTAGGCATGATATTAACAATATTAATAACAAATCTTAGCATGTCACTAAACATTAAAGACCAAAGCTTTATCCCCTAACATGATACTAACATGATAGAAGAAATAGAAAGCGACACAGATACATGCATGATATTAGAAATATTAGTTAATACCCTAAACATGATTCTAGGAATCATAAAGACATGCTAACATGATACTAGGAATTAAAATAATTTAAGCACGCTTTCTATAAAGTAATTACTTATTTGGATGCCTCGTATCTCTTTCTAATAACAAAATACAAGCGTTAGTAACTTTAATGACATATTAAATCAAACAATTAAATTAAATAATTGAAATAGAGATTCAAAACCACACCCTTAAAAATTATCAACCTTTCACGTCTAGGGAGAAGGCAACTTCGAGCTTGGTGATAACACGATATTATACACGATTTATATGTGATATTTGGTCGTGTTTTATTGGTTTCCTTCATTCTACTAATCTTTTTGAGCTATTATTCTTCCTATTTCGATATTGCTCTTCTAGGTTTTTTTTATATAGGATTTGGGCACGATTTGCGTAAAATTTATTTTAGTCGCGAGATATTTCTTTATATAGAGGGTTTCTAGCACCATTGGAGCATCAATGGAGTATTTTGGCAGCCTACTCCACAGCTCGGTTGTGGCGTGCAATCTGTTGGCCACAACCTGGTTGTGGGCGTCTATATTGAGCAAGGGAGAGGCGAAGGCAGCACGCTCCACAGCCTGGTTGTGGCGGTTTTCTTCGTGCCACAACCCATCTGTGGTAGCTTGTTTTGGTGGCGTTTGAGAGTCCTATTTATATATAAAAAAAATCTAGTTTTATGCTAGGATATAAATATGTTTTAGATAGTCTTTTATTTTATAACTTTTATCACTTTTGCAGATATTTTAGACTTCTTTTTGGGTATTACGTTTTTCCATTTTATTTTCTAGGGTTTTGCTTTCAAGATTCAAGATTTCTTAATTAATTCCAAGTATTGATTTCTTCTTTCAATTTTTTATTTTATTATTGTTAATTATGTTTTCTTTATTGATTATTATTCTTGATTTCATTAATATGTGTGAGTAGTTTCCCTATTCCAAGATCTAGCGAAACTCGAGTATTATTAATGCCTTATTTAATTCTTTAAATTCTTTAATGATAATTGCAATTTATATGCTTAATTGATTATGCCCATTCCAATACTAGATTAGCGATAATTGGTATTTTTATTAATCCATTGTTTTAATCGCAACGAGAGTTGGGTTTTGACGGGTTTGAATAAATCAATTAAGGGTTTGAAGTTCATCACAAGATTAGTTGAATGGATGATTAGGAAGTTAGAGTAATGTGCTCAAGGTCTTTAATTTGCATGATTCCACGGAAGTAGGTTTGATTGTGATTAGGGAAGCCATTGATAACTCGGGAGAGACCATTGGTATTATTCAAGGATTACTTTTCCTCTTTAATCAATTGAATTATATGTTAGGGGTAGAATAACTATTGCATTAATTGTATTCGTGGTAATGCTTGATCTTGGATGTTTTTAGTATTTGATTATCATATTATTTAGTTTAATGTCGTTCTTGATATTTAGTTATCGATTATCAATTATTTGTTTTGGCTACTTGTTTAGTAGTTACTTGAGTCTAATTAATTAGTTGAATCATAGTCTCTGTGGGATCGACCCTGACTTACCCTACTACATAATTAGGAGGTTTTGTTAGGTATTATTTTTGTTAAGTGTGCGACCACCTATCAAATTTTGGCATCGTTGCCGGGGACTAACGGTATTATACTAATTATTTCTGATTTGTTTTTATATATATATATATATATATATATATATTTGCTTCGGCTGTTGTCCCTTGTGTCTTTGATCTCTCGTTTTAGTTTCTTTGTTGCATACAAACTCGAATTTCAGGTTCAAATGATTTAACTCCTTTTGATTCTGAGATCGAAGTTACTGCGAGAAGACAACGAGGTAGAAGAAGGAGAAATCGACATACAAGAAGCATGGTCGACCCAGGAACAAAATATCTTTTGGAGTATGGCATTCTTGATACAACAACCGGATTCCTCTCCAGTATTATTAGACCACCTGTCACCGCTCAGAGCTTTGAATTGAAGCCCCAGTTCATAATATTCATCTTCAGTGATTCTTTTGCGGGCTCACCGAACGATTGCCCTATGACTTACATAGATAGTTTCTTGGAGAAATGTGACACTATGAAGCTCAATGGTTTCACTGATGATGCTATTAAACTACGCCTTTTCCCTTTTTCACTACGGGATAAAGCAAGGGAGTGGTTACGAGATGAAGGTATTGGTTCTTTTAATACGTGGGATAAGCTTGTCAAGGCCTTCTTAGTGAAATCTTTGGGGCAAGAGAAAACTGCAAAATTAAGAAACGAGCTATCTACCTTCCATCAATATAATGATGAATCCCTGTATGAGGCATGGAGAAGATTTAAGTGAATGTAGAGACTATGCCCTCACCATGGTATTCCAGAGTGGATGTTGATCCAAACGTTCTATAATGGTTTTACCCATGAGTTTCGCATATACATTGACGTTGCGTAAGGAGATTCTATCATGACTAAGAACCCAACAGATGCGAAGGATTTGATTGACAAGATGGCGGCTAATGATAGTTACCATCCAGGGGGACGAAATGTTACCAATAGAGGTAATAAAAATGATGTTGATTCTATAACCATGTTGACTAATTCTATGCACGCATTAACTCATAAAGTCAATCAACTGCAAGTCGGTTTCCTCGACCCTCAATGGAAACTTGTCAAATGTGTGGAATACAAGGCCATACTGCACGGGAGTGTCAACCTAATTATGATGGAATGACGATTGAGCAAGCTAATGTTTTTTATACAACGACCTCCACAAGGCCATTTGATGAAGGGTGGAGAAATCATCATGGTTTCTCATATATGAACAACCAGGCTCAAGTGAATCCTCCACCACCACCTGTTTTTCAAGCTAGGGCACCTATCAATCATCAATACATGCACCAACCACTACCTCAATCTTTAAATCTTGAATTCATTATGGGGACTTTTCTACCTCCCAACGTCAACAACAAGAGCTTATATCAAAGCATTACAAGAAAAGCAAAATGAATATTTTGAAAACTCGATTCAATTGCTTGTTGCTCAAAATAAGAGGATAGAAACTCATCTTTCTCAACTTTCACAATAAGTGAGTCATCTAAAAACTCTTCAAGATCAAGCAAAAGTCCAAACAAAACAATGCAATGCAATTTTCGTGAAGAGAGATGAATTGACTAAAGGAGGATTAGAAGAGAAAGTGTGCAATCTGGAGTCAAAAACAGAATTGCATGTGAATGAAGTTCTCAAATATGTTTCCCCACAAGCATATGAGGAACCAATGCCATTCTCGCAAAGGTTATCAAAAACCGTGCTTGATAAGCGTTTTGGGAAGTATTCTGAGACTCTTAAGAAGGTATATTCGACCATCTCTTTTTCCGATCTTGTGAGTCAAATGCCTGAATTTGAAAATTTTGTGAAGGGAATTCTAGATCATGATCATAACGGGATGAAATTAGAAAGTTTGGTAGTAAAGGAGAAATGTCCTAATCTTTTACATGATAGCCTACAACCTAAATTGCATGATCCTGGTAGTTTTACTATCCCTTGTAAGATAAACAAAACATATTTTTATAGGGTCTTGTGTGTTTTAGGTGCTAGTGTTAATTTAATGCCTTCTTCAGTGTATAAAAAATTAGGTCTGAATAACCTTAAATCTTCCTCTGTATTTCTTCGAATAACCGACAGGACTGTTAGACTCCCTAAGGGTGTAGTTGAAGATGTACTAGTTAGGGTTGGTGAACTTGTTTTTTTTGTTGACTTTGTTGTAATGGATATGAAAGAAGACCATAAGATCCCGATTATCTTTGGCCGCCCTTTCCTTGCTACAAGTCAAGCACTAATTGATGTTCCTAATGGACAAGTGAGCATTAGGGCTCCGGATAAGCAAGTAGAGTTTAAGCTCTTTAATGACCATAGTTTCACTTTTGATGGTGGTACCTGTCTGAGAATTGATGCTACTAATCCTTTGGTTGATAAGTGTGTATCTAATAGAAATCTTGGGAGAAAAGAGGACGACATTCCAACATATGATGGCTTCAGCTACATGATGAAAATGAGTTCGGATACAAATCATATCAACTCCAATAGAGGTGGACATATTTATAGACAAGATTGTAGAGTATCCTCTCTTCGTGGTGGTGATCCAGGTTGAGCTTCAAAAGGAGGTCGAGCTTATGAACTTAAAAACAAGCGCTTTTTGGGAGGAACCCCAATTTTCTAACTCTTAATTTATCTTTATTTTTTTAGTTAGTTATTTTTATTCTTCTCTCTAAAAAAAATAGAATACAACAAAAAATAAAAAACTTTTGACATTTTAACGATTAGGTGCAGTAGATTAGTTGAGTAGATTATTTTATGATTTTTAGAACTAAGTTTCGTTTTTCTTGATATGATTGGATTTATGTTTGGTGAATTTTTGGTGGAGTTGAGTTATGTTGGAGATGATTGGTCATTATTTATTTTTGGCTTTGGTTTTGTTAGGATTTTAGCTCCCTAAAGCATTGCTTTTCTCTCACATTTTCCCAACTTTATCCTACCTTTTACCCTAACCTTACATTACAAGCTTTAAAGACCTTCTGACCTTTGTGCGTAGAATTGTGCGAATGTGAAAGTAGTTACGTATCAATGCAAGGAATGACTTGACATATTCCGAGTCGACTATTAGGTTGAGTGTATGTCTTTTTAAACACATGAGTGCGTGAGTTGGGAAGGCATTGTTCACATGATGGGGTTGGGATGGAGAGCGATCGAGTACGCCTTTTACTCGCCACATAAATGAGAGTCGAGTGTGCGAGCACTAGTCATGAATTCTATATGCTCTTGTGGTTTTCTCTACTTGACAATTGTTAGGGAAGATAAGTGATTGGGTGGATGAAATTGGTTGATTTTTTGAAGCATAATTGTTGGATTTACCTTGAATTGGTTGTTCTTGATTTTGATTACTTTTGAGGTTAAGTATTGATTTATTTATTCGTTGCTTTACTCAAGGACGAGCAAAGGTTTAGCTTGGGGGAATTTGATAACATGATATTATACATGATTTATATGAGATATTTGGCCATGTTTTATTGTGTTTTCTTCATTCTCCTAATCTTTTTTAGCTATTATTCTTCCGATTTCGATATTGCTCTTCTCAGTTTGTTTGTTTTTGTTTTAATAGGAATAGGGCTCGATTTGCATGGAATTTATTTTAATCGCGAGATATTTCTTTATATGGAGCGTTTCTAGCACCAATGGAGCATCAATGGAGCATTTTGGCAACCTACTCCACAACTCGGTTTTGGCGTGCAATCTGTTGGCCACAACCTGGTTGTGGGCGTCTATATTGGAGCAAGGGAGAGGCGAAGGCAGCCCGCTCCACAGCCTGGTAGTGGCGGTTTTCTTCGTGCCACAACCCACCTGTGGCAGCTTGTTTTGGTGGCGTTTGAGAGTCCTATTTAGACAAAAAAAAATATATAGTTTTATGCTAGGATATAAATAGGTTTTAGATAGTCTTTTATTTTATCACTTTCATATCTTTTGCAGATATTATTTTAGACTTCTTTTTGGGTATTACGTTCTTCCATATTATTTTCTAGGGTTTTGCTTTCAAGATTCAAGATTTCTTAATTAATTCCAAGTATTGATTTCTTCTCTCAATTTTTTATTTTATTATTGTTAATTATGTTTTCTTTATTGATTTTTATTCTTGATTTCATTAATATGTGTGAGTAGTTTCCCTATTCCAAGATCTAGCGAAACTCGAATATTATTAATGCCTTATTTAATTCTTTAAATTCTTTAATGATAATTGCAATTTATATGCTTAATTGATTATGCCCATTCCAATACTAGATTAGCGATAATTGGTATTTTTATTAATCCATTGTTTTAATCGCAACGAGAGTTGGGTTTTGACGGGTTTGAATAAATCAATTAAGGGTTTGAAGTTCATCACGGGAGTAGTTGAATGTATTATTAGGAAGTTAGAGTAATGTGCTCAAGGTCTTTAATTTGCATGATTCCATGGAAGTAGGTTTGATTGTGATTAGGAAAGCCATTTATAACTCGGGAGAGACCATTGGTATTATTCAGGGATTGTTTTTCCTCTTTAATCAATTGAATTATATGTTAGGGGTAGAACAACTATTGCATTAATTTTATTCGTGGTAATGCTTAATCTTGGATGTTTTTAGTATTTGATTATCATATTATTTAGTTTAATCCTCGTTCTTGATATTTAGTTATTGATTCTCAATTATTTATTTTGGTTACTTGCTTAGTAGTTACTTGAGTCTAGTTAATTAGTTGAATCATAGTCTCTGTGGGATCGACCTTGACTTACCCTACTACATAATTAGGAGGTTTAGTTAGGTATAATTTTTGTTAGGTGTGCGACCGCCTATCACTTGGATAGGTGTGTATAGGACTTGTGAATGCGGAATTTTGTATTTTGAGAAGGGCTAGGCTTAGAAAAAATAATATAGAGAGAATAAGCATTAGCTTAGAGAGAGAAGAGAGATGATTGGTGATCGTTGATGATTTAAAAAGGGGTGATATGACCTCTATTTATAAGGAAAAAAGAGGGTCAAAGGAATAGAAAAGAATCCGAATTCAAACCAAAATAAAACTCGACGATTAGCAGTTTTTACAGATTTTGTTTTTATCATAACTTTTGATCCAAAAGTCCAAATAAGGTATATAATATGTCGTTGGAAATCTCTTGAAGTCTGTTTTCCTTGGAATCATATTGAAATCTTTTGTAGATAAAAAGATATAGCCTAAAAAGCGGGACAGTGTCAGTTTTGGATAGAGTTTCATATTTCTTTCATATCTTTTTCGTTATACCTCGGAATTAATATTATAATATATCATTGGAAAGATAATTTCAGTATCCATCTAGCCGTGTAAGATTTGGATTAAAATTATGAGGTACAAAAATAATATCTGATCTTCTTTGATTTCGCACAGAACAAGGACTCTCAAAAAGAGAAGTTTTATTTAATTTCGAATTCGTTGATCTTTTCTTTTCAAAAATAGGATAATTAAGATCTTATATAAACTTATAGAAGCTTTTAATAAATCCTAATTATTTAAGGAATGATATTAAACCTTTGGACCCTCCACATGGTCACTGAGTCGTAGGTAAAATCCGGTTTGGGCCCAATTTAGTATTTTGGCCATAACTTCCTCATTATTCATCAGAATTGCGCTTAAAATATATTGTTGGAAAGGTCTTTTCAAACCTCATCCACCTACACAATTATTGGACCCATATCATGGACAAAACTAAATTGGACTGGATAATTTTCATTAACAGGGTACGAAAAGAAATATTTTCGAAAAACAGAAAGAAGTATTTTTATTAAAAATAACTGCATCACTAGACTTTTCACACTTTCACTTCATTCGGTAATCAATGACATGAAAGATATTCATAACTAGGTTTGATTTTAGGGCAGACACATGTAGGTGTCTACAAAAGCCCCCACTTTGACTGAGTTTGGAAAAACGCAAGTTTCAAAAACAAAATTCAAAATAGCGATGGGGACGTAGAATGATTCAGAACTTTTTGCGATCCTAAATCATTCTTGTAACGCCGATACCAGAAAACTAGCATTAGTTTAACACATAAAGGAGTTAAGAAATAGGTATCTTGCACCGTCGAGCACGCATCTCTAGAGTAACCAATTTTGTTGATGCATTTGTGACAACCTCTACAGTGCCTCGTGAGCGCCACGTTGAAGACCGCTACTTGTAGCTATCCTTGATTGTTCAAAAAAATCCTCCACATCCTATAAAACATCGTCGAAGGTGACTTCTTGTATCCATCTTCAGCTTTGTTGCGACAATTTTCTCGACCTAGCGAGTATCGTCGAAGACCGCTACTTGTAGTTATCTTCAATTTGTCGTTTCTTTGCTTGTTGTGTCTTTGCTTGTAATTTTGTTGTGTTTTTGCTATTGATGTTCACTCGTCTCTGAAAAGTGGAGCGTCTAATGATTTGTCCATGAATTTCTGAACAAAAGAGCTTGATGAAGGATTTTCACTCGTCTCTGAACAAAGGAGCTTAAAGGAGATTATCAATCAGCTTTGAACAAAAGAGCTTTGAATGGTATGCCCACGCGTCTCCGAGCTAAAGAGCTTGAAAGGAATTTCAACGCATCTCTGGAAAAAAAATCTTTGAATGTCTGATTGTTTGTCGAGATTGTTTCGTTGGCTGCGAACAAGAGCTTTGCTAAATGGTTGTATCTTGTAAAATCAAAAGATTGCTAAAACACTTTACTGGTGTTTTTTTTAGGGTTGACCTAATTCTTGACTGATTGCTTTGAATTGAGGTTAACTCAAGGTGCTTTGACTGACTTGACAATACATGACTCGTGTGTGCATTATATTGTGATGTGCTTGACTCAAAATGCAGAAAAGTAAAAAAACTTCGTCATCTTTGTGGAGGGTACCGACTTTTGCTTGAAAAATAAAGACAATAAAAGGAATTGAAGTGAGTGTATGAGTGTTTGTGGTGCATGTTGAATAAATTTAGTCAAATGTATGCATTGATGTTGTATCTCATTGTGCAAAAGATTAGTTCATCCTAGGCTATCTCAATGGTTGACTCGATGATGAAAGTATTTAGGTAACTTAGGAACGGAGGCTAAGCACTTCATACTTTATGACGCAATGATGATTAATGCGATGAATGATTTTGATATGACAAGGCATGCTTCAACGTTGTATTAAGATTTCATGACAAAAGGTTCCTAAGGGAAGGATTATTTAGTTAGGTATCTCTGATGTAAAAGGAATGGTGTCCTTCAAACAAGTGTATTATTCCAATAGTGGGTTTAGAATTATTAGAAAGCAAGCCAATTATTCAGTGAGGTCAAGTGATCGGAATTCCTAAATGGAGGCCACTTCCGATCAATAATATTAATGTATAATTAATGTAACAGCTTAACCTTGACTGAACCCTTCGGATCACACCCAAGCAACTAACGAACTGATGTGACGAATTAATTCGGAGGAATTAATGAGTCACCCGAGTAATTAATATTTAGACGTCGAAAATTCGAGCTTGAAGCGTCGAATCCGAGCGACGAAAGTCAAGCCAAAATTCAGGAATTGGCGAGGCATTAAAATGCTTCAAGTAATAATTTAAACCCTAGCCATGCGGAACG